TCTTACCACCACCCCACACCATATACCCTGCTCCCAGGACACAAACTCCCTGCTGGTCTGCTTGACTATCCCTCCCTCCCTGTCGCTCACTTCTCCTCCTTCTTGGGCTCCTCCTTCTCTTCCTCTTTCTTCTCCTCCTTCTTGGGCTCCTCCTTCTTCTTGTCATCCTTCTTCTCCTCCTTCTTGGCATCGTCCTTCTTCTTGTCGTCCTTCTTCTTGTCGTCTTTCTTCTTGTCGTCTTTCTTGTCCTCCTTCTTGGGCTCCTCCTTCTTCTCTTCTTCGGGCATCGGCTCCGTGGTGAGGATGACCTTGCCAATGTTGTTCCTCTCCTGCATCTTCCTCATGGCATCACCCACCTGGGGGAGAGATAAGGAGAAAGACGAAAGATAAAGAAAGATAAAAAATATATAAAACGTTGGCATCTCTGTGCTTCACTTTCCATGAGCATTTTCAGCCAATTTGAAAATAGTGTTTCTCAACACAAGACAAGAGCAAATCATTAAGGGCTGATACCATCTCCAGATCTGCGTTTGGACACAAGCTACTGGCCGCGTGCTCTGAGCACACTGACGACTCGGAAAATGTTGCCTAAGACTGAATCAGGCGCACAGGAAGCGAAACAGCAGCCCGGGTTCAGACACACTAATAAATTCTCTGGGCTAAAGCTCATCGGAGTCGTACAGACAGACATGGGGAATGTTGTCTGTACAGATCAGAGTTTTTAGTCTATGTGGACGGGAGGTTCAATTCTATCCTGCCAAACACAGCATACAACCAGTGTCTCAGCTGACTGTCCTGCCTGTGGTCCAGATCTGTCTCCTACTGAAAAAAGTCCAGCACAGCATAAGGAGGAGATTCAGACAACATCAAGGAATCTGTGTAAAGAATCAATCAGTTTTACATATAGAATAAAGTTGTGGCTAATTAATACATAGTTAATCAAAGATTAAATCACTCGTTTTATTTATAAAGCATTTTTTGAAAGAATAGAGATTTCAGTGAAAACATTATTTGTGAATCCACCAGACTCTAGCTTTTTATGATCTACTCTATTTTCGATAATGGCTTTTTAAGAATGACTGATGTGACCGCCCACGTACATTAATAATGTACAGTCATGTCGTGTCGCTGCTGCTCAATAATAATCGCCTCAATATTCTTTTAATTGGACAGAAATACTATCAGGACCAATAAAATGATCGGTGCCGGTGCATTAACTACCAGTCCAGCAATAGAGGTCACTGCAGATGAATTATTAATCAATAAAGCACTGTGGGGAGGCGGGGCCTCATCACAGCACACTCCACAGGTATGAAACTCTGCCACTGTAGTCAGCAGTGACTTATTCAACATTTATCAAAGAGAATTTGGGAGCAAAGTCACAGTTTTTCTTTTGTTTAAAAAAAATGAAACAAGCCTTTCTATTCCTCCTGATCCAGAGAGGGCTGGATCCCACCGTCTGTCCTAATGACAAGAGGAGAGTCCCAGCCTGAGGAGCCCCACCCTTGTCCTTGACCACCAATATCTGTCCACTGTCCGTTCTTGTCCCCATCACTCGGCGAGGCAGGCAGACCACCTAGCGACCAACACCACGGCAACAGGACGATCTCCTAGCAACGTAAGGCCTAGCTGCAATATGGCCCCGATGACTCAGACACATGGGAAGGAGGGGAGGTGGGGGTGTGGGTGTCAGAAGAAATGGATATATGGGGTTAAAGGGGACAGCGCACGCCGCAACTGGTGTCGGCCTGATGAAGAATACGCATCGATGAAAAGTGGATAAAGAAACGATGGGGGGGCGGGGGCCAGGGGAGGAGCCGAGGCGCTGGGGAGCGATTCCAGGAATGATGACGAGTGATCATCATCGAGCGACCGAGGCTCCGTCAGAGATGACTCCGCCCACTGACCATTAGTCACATGTCGGCCTCTTGTGCTCCTCTGGACTGTGGACTGTTTACTGATACACTGACATGACTGTTGGTCCGTCGGTTATTGGTCTGCTCCCCGTGGAGAGTGCTGGTCGTTCATTGATAAACGTTTGATTCTCTAATACAGCCTTGGCTCATTTCACTTCCGAGTCTTTTTTAACACCTTTTTCAATTTTATGTGTTATGATATTTGGCACTGCTTTTACATTAAATCCACTTCCTGAAGTCATTCGTTCTGAGGTTGAGCTGAGGGGCAAATTAAACAGAGCAGCAATGCTGAAAGATTTTAAGGTGGTATTAATATCTGCTGTAAAGTTTAGACTCATATTTGTATCTCTTCTCTGCAGGGCTTCCTAAGGTTTTATTCATTTACTTTTGAAAGGGAGGCTGAGAATCGGACAGAGGATAAAATAAAATGCATTTGTTCAGATAACAACAATCCTGGCAGCATTCTGTCTTTTTATAATAATATATGCATTAATAATACTATACTATTACAAATCTTCCCTTTTCTGTTAAAACTAAAAATCACTCCTTCCGTTTGTTTTATCTCATTTCAATCTTTCTTTCTTTCTTTCATATCCAACGGGGCACCTCCCTTCGACAGACGCACACACTAAAGGATGTCACCATAGCAACAGGAGCGAAAAAAGCAAAAAAAAAAAAAAGATACACTGTGCTGTTTGCCAGAAGAAGCAGAGGATACGGCGAGATGGAGAGAGACAAGGGAAGAGAGAGAGAGAGAGAGAGAGAGAGTTAATAAAAGAGAGAGACAGAGCCTGATATGAGGAGTGAATGGGCAGATGGGGGAGGCAGAGAAAGAGCGTCAGATGGCGGATAAAGACAGCGGGTGTTTCTCTCTGGCTGCCGTTGAAGCAACTGACCAGCACCGACTCTGAGAACAGTAGATGTCAGCCTCTGACTCCCTCTCCCTCTCTCTCTCTCCCTCCCTCCCTCTCTCTCTCCCCCTCCACATTTTTCATATTCTCTATTTCTGCATAAGACCTTGCAGGGTTAATTCTGCCAAGTGACAATGTGACTCTGTGTCTTCTTCTCTCTCCCTACACAGTCCACTTTGTGTCCACTTTGTGGACAAACCACACATAGTGAATGGGACTATGGGCAGTATCTGGGCCACGCCCAGCTTCAGTGGATCCTATGGCGTCGGTCATTTACGCTCATTCTGCCTGACTGGGTAGGCAGCACATGGTGTCAGGACACACGGCGCTCCTGTGTTAATCCGTGTCACATTAAATCATTATGTCCAATTAAAACAGAAGACATGGAAATATGTAGAAACCATCAGGCTTGACAGAATGTGAAGATCTCATCAAAGTAACAGACCCTGGTTATGAAATATGGAAATATTACGTAAGACACTGGAAATGAGACGTGAGTTCAGTGGGTTTCCTCTGCACCTAAGGTAGAGCAGGACTGTTTCCCCCCCCCCATCTCCACCACTGGTATTTTCACTATACATATTATTAAACGTTATGCAAAACTGTTTGTTTTCATTCATTTTTTTTAGATTCAAGATTTTCCCCAAGGCAGGAAAAATCGAGGGACTCTAAGTTTGTCTTTTTAGTCAGTAAATAACACGTGGAGTAAGCCAGGGCATTTCTGTGGGTGACAAGACTGCTGCTGAATTTTTTCTTTTTTTTTCATCCAAGTGGGAGTTATTTCATGAGCATGTCGTGTTTTAGCTCTCATGGCAAGGCACTCATTTCAGATATCTGTTCTAAACTGAAGAGTTTTTTTTTTTTTTTACAGAACATTGTGTTTAATTTGTGAATTAGGTAAATGACATAGGAATCAGCCGTCACTCACCTGTTCCAGATGCCAAGTGGAGTCGATACGAGGCTTGATCTTGTCCTGCTTGTACAGATCCAGAATGGAGTTCATGGCCTCGGTGATCAGCTCCGTCTCCCCCTCCAAATAGCCCAAGTGGAAACCGCACACCGACTTGTTCCCCTGGATTAAGCTGAGCGTGTGGATGGAGAACTGGTGGTACCAATTCTTGGCCACTGCGATCAGGTTCTTCTTCTGGCCTGCCAGCATGTTAGCCGCACCTGAGGGAGGGGGACAATGAAAGAGACAATAAAAGGGTTATGGTGGGGATGATCAATGGGTGGAAGGCGATCAGCATTGCTCCATGGGTTTTGGTCAAATGTATGTACTGATATTGGGCTGATTTATAATAATTGTATTTATGTCTGTGAATAGTTTCCTTTGTGATCGACAAAAGGAGCCTGGCATAAGAAATGTTGTCTTCGGTAAACCTTCCAACTGGACAGTGAATCACACTCTGTGTCCAATCAACCTCCGACCTGCTCCACTGTTGCCCGCGTCCTGTCTTTTGGCAAATCATTTTTCCACTGAAGCCAAATATATCCCATTTGACTCTTCAGTCCACGGCACCTGCTGCCTTTTGTCCCCTGTTTCTGTCAGAAGTAGAGCCACTTGGCCTTGTTTCCACGTTCACGTTCACTAATAGATGCCATTCATCAGTGACCACATCTGGCCAAAATTTGCCCGACAACAGATGGACTAACCTGGCACCTGCTGGTTTCTACCTGTTCCAAGCTGTGGCGCCGTTGAACGTCTTCTGATATAGGTTTAGTGAGCTTGATATATCAGCGGCCCCCAAACCTTTTTTGGTACCAAGGACCTGTCGGCCGGTATTACCAATTACTGTGGACCGCTAACACTGTGACATCATTGAAGGATCGTGAAATTTTCAAAATAAAACATCTTTTAGACTTTATTCTGTTAGTATCAGAGTCTGAATGACCTGTTGTTTTGAAACATTTTTTTCACTGTGTCTCACTGTGGCCTGGTACCAAATGACCTACGGACCAGCACCGGTCCCCAGACCGGGGGTTGGGTACCCCTGTTTTACATCTTTTGCAGCAAACCACTGCATCGATGATTCGCAATCTTAGTATTTCTTTGGAATTCTTCCAAACAGCTGCTCCAAACAGCAGTGTGAGTAGAACCTCAGTCTAATCAGAAGTATTTCCTAGTAGAGACCCTGCTGTGGCTGGATAACTACCTCGTACCTGTTACTCTGCTCAGTCCTGACCTCTGACATACTCTCTTCTACAGCTTCAGTAGTACAGATACTACAGTGAGCTGTTTATTTTCTGCTAAGAACTGAGTTTAAATAGTCATATAGGAATGCTGATCACTGCACCTGACTGTAAGAATACGAACACTCTGACTAAACAAAATAAATGATGGGTTGGTAATTGACATTCGTTGTCATGACAACTTCTCTCTTTTCTTCTATTCCTTTCTTCCTCACGACAGCGTTCGACCTGGAAATATCTCGGGCACTTGAGCGCTGGCGGGAACGACATCACCTTTCTGTCCCCATCTTCACCCTCCGCACTCTCGCAATCTCTTTCTCTTTTTCTCAGGAGAATATGTGGACACAAAGACGTCTCTGAGAGGAGGGAGAGACCCAGCCCGCTACATTCAGACGCATTCCAGGGTTTGTGTGCATAGAACGCTCATTGTTCAGTGGTCGCATACTTGTGATGAACTGGAAAAGAAGCAGCAGCCAGTACGGAGGAATTGGGCAGGCGGGGTTGCAGCTGAAGGGGGGAAGTTCTGAAGGGGTGACAGAGAGGGTGAATAGGCGAGGGTGGGGGGGGGGGCACCTTGCTGGGTAGTGGGTTTTTGTGCAACATGCAAAGGCTCAGCCCTGTTCTCTGTGAATGCCGAACCTGCCCACTGTTGCATACATGCAAGAATTTCGCAGATTGGCACTGCAACACAGCAGGCTCATAACGGCCTTCCCACAGATGACACACAGAACACCGAGGTCACACACGCTGCCCACCGGGACGCAGCTTTACTCCACATCATCTGTGGCCGTGCTGCTACTGCGTTAAAGTGGGACACTTTATTTTCATGATTCCTTGATAGAAGTCCTTTAAGTGTGTGACCAGGCTGAAAACCCCATGAAGGTTGTTTGTTGTGGTTGAATGTTTAAGATAGTCTTGGAGTTTATTTTTAACATGAGTCAGGAGTTTCCTGTGTTTGGTCATCCTAATGTGGATTCCAACCTTACAAAACTTGTATAATTAACTCCTGGCTCTAAAAATGACAAAACCTCACCAATTTAACTATTGAAATACATTTATTTGACTATTTTGTGGTTAAATTTGACTAATTGTATTTTTTTGAAACAAGCTTTGAGCACGTATCGAGACCCATATTTTAAAAGTCACAAACTCAATAACCCGAGTCAGTAGACATTATTTGTAAACTCCTGGGAAACAAAAATGATGCGAGACGACCCCAAAAAAATCTCTTGCGGCCCACCTCAGGGTCGCAACCCAGTCTTTGGGAAACAATGGTCTAGCAGCAACAGCATAGTTTGTGTGTAGTGTGGAAATTTTAAGGATATAAACGGCATTAATCTGGACCAAGGCCACAAGGAATAAAACACTCACAAACAGTACACACTCACCTGGAGAAATGTCACACACACGGGGAGAACACGCAAACCTGAACTCGTGACATCTTTCCTGTAAGAATACTCACCGTTTAATTATAGCCTTTAGCATCGTATGTGTAGATGTCGGTTAAGTTTTGTAGGTGTCAAATCTGACTCACAGGAAATGAATAATTTCGTTCGTTTACTCACCGTAAGTGATTAATTTACCCATGGGCTTCAGCAGGTTGTAGGCCTTATGGGTGTCTGATCCGCCGAGAGGGTCCAGGATAATGTCCAGTCCTGAGTTAGTGAAGATAGAAAAATGATGAATACAGTGAATTAAAAATGATGATGGAGAACTTTCAAATCTCTTCAGCAGCTCCTTGTTGTTTTTTTTATTCTTGATCAGTCCATTGTAAGACATGGTACATACAGTAAGCTGTCTCTCCATCATTGTTCGCCCTGTTCCTTTGTGCACTGATTAACAAAGCAGAGAGTGAAGCACGATAACCGGACCATTAAGGCTCCTCAGTGTCTCATTAATATCGGACCACGGCAGCTCAGCCTTAATAATGTTCCTGTGTGCCAGAGGGGACTCCTCAAATTGGGCAACCCTTGCTTTCACCACAACGCCCTGGCTCTATTGATTCGGAGAGCCTCGCAGTGGGGCACCGCCTTCACCGCGACACAGACGAATTGACAGCGAGCCAAAGACAGAAGGGAGAGGTAGTGAGCGCCACATCGATCCAGACTTCTAATTAGATACATTCTGTCTAAAGTGTCAGTTCTCTCTTTCCTCCTATTTGTCTGTCTCTCTCTCTGTGCTGCAAAGGACAGAGACAGTGGGACTAGGAATTAAGCCTGCGGCATAAAAGGTCTCTGCGTCCAGCTAGGAACACAGTGGTAGGCACAGGCGAAACAGGAACTGGACGCCACCCCCCCCACCCCACCGTTTTGCTAAAAAGCAGCATTTCTCGTGTATTTCCACACCCGAAGCAGCGCCGCTTAGTGCAAGGATTAAGCTTAGTCTCCATAAATGCTTTGATTCCTACCATGCGTAAGATCTGTGTCATGAGTAACAGGATAAAATAGTTCCAGCTACAGAACTGGAGTTAACTCTTTTTGTCCCTTGTAAAATATTTTGTATTATGTTGTTTCAGGGAACAAAAAGATAATTTCCAGGGCAAATTCAAATGATACAGCAAACTACTCTCTGCTAGGTTATTTTTTATAGTGCTATGCAACAAATAGCAAAGGCTAGGTAATATATATATATATATATATATATATATATATATATGTAATGTAGGTTATGACGTCTTCTACGTATTATTAGGAGTAGTAGATGTATATGTAATGTGGTATACTTAAACGAAATTACAACAAAAACTATACAATATATATATACACATATATATATATATACCCCTGAGTCACACTGTTTATCTATCTATTTATTAGCTGTTCGTGGTGTACGACGGTGAAACATCTCACCTTTGGGGCTGATCTTGCGAACTTCGTCCACGTAGTCCTTGGTGCGATAGTCGATGGGATGTGTGACACCGCCCTGGGTGATGGTCTCATGTTTGCTGGCTGATGCTGTACCAAACACAGTCACATCCTTCACTGTCTTGCACAGCTGGGTGGCTGCAGTACCCACACCGCCTGAAAGAGAGAAGGTGGAGTCGGTCATGCCCCGCTGATGAGGAGAAGCTGCCTGGGTGCAGACTTACATGATACATGTCCAAAGTCTGGCCTGAGGGCTTTCTACTGTGTACTTTAAGTTATTTTTTTGTAATATTTATTTGCTATAAAGTATTAAATGGCACTACACAAACATACATTTCTACTTCCATTCTAATCATTTCAACTACTATTGCTAACTTTCAGCCATTTTAAGGCTAAAAATAATTCTGATATGTCAGTGGTTTCTTTTGTTAGCTTTGAATATTTTTTTCAGGTTACTTTTAGAGTATAATAAGCAGCATTCAAATTGCTCCATGTTGTGGGTTATCAACCTTTACGCTGAAATACATAAGTAAAAAAGTTGATGTTCTTTAGAGAAAAATGGTTTACGCAAAGTTTACTGACTTGTGGCCTCTTGACCTTTGTGCAGGTCAACCAGGCTGAGCTGAGGATGTTTAAGACGGCACCAAGAACCCCTTGTCCACAGACATTTTCTTTTACAGGTAAATGTGATTTACGTTATTAAGTTATTGGTCCAAATAACACAGTCGATAACAATGTGGACGTGTTTTGCTCCCAGTAATGTGAAGACACAATCACATTACACTGGCCAGCCTGAGGAGAACAAACCCCCACTTTAACACACAGAGCCATGCACATGATGGTGTAGGGTGACAAATGTAGCTGAAATGGCAGGTTTATTTTTTTTTCCTTCCTGTTGTTCAACACAACACTGAGAAAAAAAAAGTCTAAGAAGAGAAAAAGTAACCGAGGTTTCAGATACACTGTGAAAGAGGAAGTACTTGACTGAGCAAACGCAGCCTTTTGTATCCAAACCAACTGAACACCTGTGTTACACTGTTTCAGATAGAAAACATTGTAAGGACTAAGAATGGGGTCCGTGGTATCTGTGACTGTGCTCGCTGTATTAGAACATGTGTACACAGAGGCAAAGAGCCCGGGCCAGTGTTTGCGAAAGCAGCCAAAGCAAGAAGTAATAGGTTACTGATAAGCAGGGCCTTGTTTGACTCAGGGACATGAAATGAACGGTTTCACTAAAGGGCACGACCAAGTAAAGAGCAGATCAGATCTGATACATGACTAAAAAGAGGGAGGAAGAGTGGGTTTGTACTCTTGAAAGTCTTTTGATGTGTTTGAGTTTGGAGACCAAACGGCAGCCGTGCCTTTACTGCACTTCTGTAGCCACAAAACCTGTATTACGGTATAGATGTGTGTGGGTGTGTGAAAAAAAAATCTTCCGTTTACCCAGGTTCAGGGACGAGATCGAAGATTTTTCTGGGCTTTGGTCTCGCAGTGAAACAACAGAAACAGTTGGATACGAGTGTTGCTGCTGTCACTGTGATGAAACATCAACCATCTCCTCCAGTCCTCCTCTAGTGAGAAGCCAGGTTTTTTGTTGCCAGGGAAACCTGGGCCAAATTGCCAACAATGACTAAGCAGAGGCAGCCATTTTCTTTCATTGAACGCTCCCCTACTGAACGTGTGTGTGTGTGTGTGTCATCTGACAGGAACCACAATCTCATCATTTTTACGGATGATTTCAGCATTCTATAACAAACAATTCAATGATGACAAATACTGAGGTCAGTGGGTTTTTCCGTCTATATCTGAAGTAACTATGTGCTCGCACATGATTCTTCTCACGTACATTGACTGTTAATAATGTTTTCGCACACATGCATGTGTCTGAGGGGGGTGTTTCAAGCTGGATTCAATGATTCTGATCAGTTATTTCAAAATAACCTATTGCTATCTCTCTCTGGGAGAAGAATGGGTTCCAGCGCTTTTTCCATCTCCGTCTCCAGACATATGTGAATATAGAGCAACATCAATAATACCATCATAGAAATGAAAAAATAGGCCCTTAAAAATAACTTGAATGAAAACTTATGGGAACATTTGGCGACTTTACTTTTATTGTTTTTTTTAAACCAATAAATCCTTCATGAAACAATCTTAAGAGTTTCAGATCAGTGTTGTATTCCATAATACCTTCCAGAAGAAGATGGACTGTAATGTATGAGTATATGAATGATTGACAGCCAGGTTAGAATTAGACTAGACGAGACTGGAAATGAGTGACTGGGACGTTTGACTCTCGAGTCTCACTGAAAAAACGCATCTGACTGCGTTCATTTGGTTAAAACTCACAGAAAATGGAGCACATAAATCCCAATTTTTCAGCATTTCCTATGACCCATAAAGATGGAGGGACTCACTGACACCACTAAGCTGTGGTCTAGCGCCACCAGATTTCTCCTGTAAGACATTTCTCACATTATTGTCATTCTGATCTCTGACATGGTTGCAATCAAAAATTCACACTCACATCGACACCTACGGTCTGCTCAGAGTGTTCTTTAAACCTAATCTGGAATCTGCATTTTCTGGATTGATGTAGAAGCCGGGGGATATCTTCCATCTGGAAAGACTATCAGTTACCATCGTGGACTGAACTGGTAATCGCAACAAACCAAAAATGTCTGTTGCCAGCTGTATAGAACAGCTAGAACAATTACAACTCCTCGGAATCCATCCTGAATCAACATCCACATTTTATTTTAAATGTCAGTTCTTCCAGCTGCTGCAGCCAAAGCTGTGAACACAGATCTTTCCATAGTAACGAATCAGAGATACAGGTGTGAAGGAGAGCCCTTGATAATGAATTCATCACACCAGGCTCACACACGTTAATATGTAACCGCTGTCATAAACGCAGGGATTTTCACTTTCACTGTAACTACAGAATGACGTCAGCATAACCACAGCAGAGGGGTCTTTAAATGCAGGGTGAGTTGACGGGAGAATCAAAATGCATTCATTCAAAAACTGCTTAAAAAAAAAAAAAAAAGCCATGGTTTGAACACACACAGGTCTGTGCCACGTGAGATGCTGACTGCCTTTGGATTCATATACAATCGTCTGACTCCTGATCGCTCATCACAAGACTGACCCGCTGAGCCAAGAACCTCTTACCACACACACCAAAACACACACACACAAACACATTGTTTTTTTGTGTTTTGTGAGAACGAGCCTTTGCTATACTAAATATTACAAATATTATACATAATCCTAATATTCACTTACTCTAATACCGCAAAAAAAGCATTCTCTCAAAAATGTTTATCTTCATAAGCGCAGCACACAAAGAATTGAGCCGAGAGGAGGGAAATGAATTTGGCAGTAGACTAAAAAAATCCTGTTCTTGGTTGTTTTGTAGAAATCTCGCAGATATGTACAAAGACTCTGCTGTTGCCAATCTAACGCTCCCTGTTGGCTATGGAGCCAAGAAACACCCGATAATGCTGAGACAAAGTGACACAAGACAATCCTGGGAGGATTTCCCCCGAAGGCAGCTGCAGCAAATTCTTTCTGCAAATTGCATTTGTTCCTCTTCAAGATTCAATTGAAACATTTACACTTGCAAATTAGGAAATATACACAAAAAACATCGTTTAGTTCATTCATCTCTCCGTGAAGAGGAAAAGGAAACACAGTGAAACCTCACACTCATACTTATTCTGGCACAAATTACACTTGGCTTCCACAACATGACCCAAAGCAAAGGAGGAATTTTCCCCAAAACACAGTGGAATCCAGTCTTGACACCAGTCTTGTTGTTCCACACCCAGAGTTCACATTGGTCGTATCAGAAATGTTTTGCAGATTCTTTGGATTTGATCCCTGTTTGGCTTGTCTGAGGCTCGGCACCGCTAGCCCAACACCTTTGGTCATGTGACGGCTGAACCTGACTACAACCTAACAGTTGGTCCACCACTCTGACTATTGTGTAGTACAGGATGAGCACTGAGGATGTTGCCTCCCATAACAAGGGAAACAACAGGACTGAGATAAATGTAATCTCTCTGATATTTGACCACTAACAAACAAGATAACGGCACATTTTTAACATGTCCTATAATAGCTACGTGATGTCGTGGCACTAGAACTATTCCACAATATGTACAAACACATCTGGGCATGGACCTTCCTTTCCAGGGCTGATGGTGAATATGATACGCGATAAATCCTTTTAACACAATCCATGTTGCCATTGAGAATTACTTGTCACTATAGAGCCTTATTTTGAAAATGCAACATCTTTTATTTTGGAAGCTCAAGGCTCATCTTATTTCATCGACCTTTGGTCTATCTTTAAATAAGATCCTCCAAAGACTTTTATTTAGAAAAGAACTTGAATGCAGGGCAACAGACAAACCAGGGAACATTATACAATTTTATTATTTTAAATTCAACAACAGCTTTCTACTCTTTTCAGTGCTGACATATAAATTTGAGGCCAAATCTGAGGTCAATATTTATGCCATAATCTCTGTACTATGACCTGGGAAAAGTAAAGAATGAAAGAATGAAAAATGAAATGAACAACATAGAAAAGTTAACTTTGTGTCGTGTTTCGACAATATCTCTAAAATACTTTTTTGCCTGTATTGAACAGTTGGTTTGTTTTAGAAATCTCCAGGCCTGACTTTTGGGGTTGCTGTCAAACCACTTTTCCATGCGTGAGACCAACGAAAACAAAATCTGAAAGTTTTTACCATTTTTGAATTTCGGCCGGGACCTTGTTAGACAGGATCCTCGGTCGAACTCCTCACATGTCGTTTTCGTTTTAATCACACGTCGTGGCTGTTTTGCTATCAGCGCTAATAAAAATGATCATCACTTCACAGTTTGAGCCAGCAGACTTGGCAGAGGAAGTCCAGAGCGTCACATGCGTCTACTGCCAAAGGGTAAGCTGTGATTTTTGTTCTTGTGTTATTTCCTGTACGCCCGTTGCCAAATTTCCTGAAAAACTTGTGTCTTTCTTAGCCTATCATTAGCTTGCGGCTAACGACGCAAGAAATACAAATGCGGCTCCTTTTGTCCGAGCTCTCTGTGGCAGCTTTGCAAAGTCAACAAACCCAAACCAAATGACTGGACATTTGATTTTATTG